TGGCCGTACCTCACCGCCAGTGGCGTACCAACTTGTTTTTGAGTGTGGGGGGGGGGGGGGGCAAACCAGATTCCCCCCCCCCCCCCCCAAGGGCCGGTGCCAATGCCCTTGGGCGCCGCCGGCGAGTGTTTGCCCTGCCCAGTGGCGGCTGTTTTAGGGGGGGAGGGGGGGGCAAAACACATACCTTGCCCCCCCCACTCTGAGAAATGGGAGGTCAAGCGCCCCCCCTTGCCCCCCCCCGCTCGGTACGCCCATGCTCACCGCCATGGTTTTTTCCCCAAAGCCGGGGTCACACTGCTTATGCATCATAGAAAAGACGGTCTGCAAGCAGGTTCCAACGCGAGTCCCCACCACGAGATCTTAGCTTGGAATACTGTACGGCATCGAGTTCAAGGAGACACTTGACACGCGGCATTTGAACCACGAATATCGTGGTGACTGATATCTGCAGACTCTCTTTTGTATAATGTATTATGCTCGTGTCCTACTAGAGCGACCGAGAGAAACAAGGGACAGCGACAAGCCTCAAACCACAGTCTTTCGCAATTCGAAAGGCTTTCAAACACGAGCATCATGCACGCGAGGGTATCTTTGGCACTTGCAACCGCTCGTGCTTACTTCACGAGCACCGAACGACTAAATGCCTGCCAAAGGTACCATCGCGAGCCTGTTGCACGGGTTTGAGGCTTGTCGCTGTCTTTTGTTTCTGCCTGTCACTCTAGTGGGACACGGGCATAAGTGGTGTGACCCCGGCTTAATGGTACTTCTAGTAGAAGGAAACACAGCAATGCGACCCGTAAAAAATGCGTAATAAATATTAAAAATATTAAAAGAAGGACAACACCGACTTTGCTATGTAGTAACAAACCTCGTGCCCAGGCGCCAAAAGTTACGCCAAACAACGTGCGAAAAAAACAAAAAAACACTGCAGCATGGTTATTTTATTTCGGGAAATCCGAATTTTTTTCTGGAGTTTTATACGTGCTACAGATTGCAGTGAAAGATATCAAAAGGCGCGCTTGTAGCGCTGGCCGCAGCATGTCCAGATGAATATCTCAAATTAAACAAATAAATAAGCATCACAACTTGTCTATCTACGCCCCCCCCCCCCCCCCCCCAAAGCATCTGTTCACCGTTCTACCGCAATACACAAACATTTGTAAGTAAAAGTTGCAGTAACTCGACCTAACAAGACTTTTTCTTGAACTCTTCTGCCTCGCGCCATGCTGTAAAATGACTAGGTTAAAAGCCCCCCCCCCCCCCCCCCCCCCCCGAGAGACGGCTCTCTTTCTCTTTTTCCGATTACGCCCTCTCCGCACGAATTGGACGGCCGGAGAAGCGTCTGTGCGCTTCGGGATCTCGGAGGCCAAGGGAGAGGGCAAATAGTACGCGTGGCTTCCGTTTGATGGAGCCACCTATACTTCGTTTCAGCTTCCGTCCGAGCGCAGCCAAAGTATGGTGGCTAGCCACCCTAGCCAAAGGCTGAGGGACGATTCGCAACTTCGAGAAAAGCATTCCTACGCACCACAAAGTAGTCCGCAAAAGTATTTTTTTTTTTAGTAACTGCTAAGTGCGTAAGCATTGCACAATATTCCAGATGTGTACTGCTGCGAATGATCTGCAACTAAAATAATTAATTATCTGAAGTTTATGTTTTTATTAATATATGAAAATGCATGTGGTTTGGAGAAAATACGTACATCCGCTGGCAACACGGCTGCAGCGCTCGGTTTTTTTGTGTGATTTCGTTCCCGTAATCACAGTGAACTAGTACCGTAATGGCCAAATCATGTGCTTCGCTGCTTTCCTCACCGGGTCGCTTCAAAACGTCCTTTCGCAAAGGCACGTTTGGGCGTCAGGCGCGAGAGGTCGTGATGAATGTCTACTTTCAAATTCGGCAGAAGACTTCGGCCGCGTCGTACCGGGAATGTGTTGTAAACAAGAAAAGCGTCCGGGCCACTACAATTCACTGATACGCGGCGAAATCGGGACACCACACCCCTTTACCTGCCGATCACATTGAACGCCGAGAAGCTGGTAGAAAGGACTGCGCCCAGACAATACAAGGGAAACATCAACGGCCGGGTCATCGAGCCCTTTGCAACGTGTACTTACACCTCAAAATTATCTCTGCCAAACAGGTGGAAAGCTCGGACACAGACACCAGCGGCCAGCCTAAGGTACTCACATCCCCTGTGACTTAATTTCAGAACGTGAAAAGGAACTTTTGGAACTTGTAGCAGACGATACCGTTAATATACCCATAGCAGACGAAATACTCGGTGAGCGCGGACTGCGCGGTCGACCAGCGGCGCAATACAAAAGTGCAGGCGAGATCGCGTGACCCATTGTCGGCGTGTGATTGGCTCCGGCCACACGTAGCTTTGGCTGCGCTCGGACGGAAGCTGAAACGAAGTATTGGCGACGTGAGCGATCGAAAGCGTCGCTGTGGTCGGCCCACCACAATTGGCCGAATGCTGAATATGACGTCAGCAAAGGATGTGTCATCGACGGAAATAAGAGGAAAATAAGAACTTCAATTTTGACGGTGTTGGCAGTCCTGATTTGAGAGCGCTATGATTTCAGGCTTCCACCGTGCACATTACAAACACCATCGAACTTGTTGCTCACAAGGTAATGACGTCACGAAAGGTAACCGAACGAGGGCGCCACCGAAACATCTTGCCGCTAATAGGCGTTCTGCACAAACCTGTCGTGTAGTGAAGCCAACCGTCTCCTCCGCAGGAGGCGCCGTGATTACGCACCGACAGCACCGACAGCAAGGTATTTAAAAGTCCTTTGCCGACAATCTAAAGCGCGATGCCAGCTCATGGTATTCTTCGAAATTTTTTTTTGTTGCTATTTTTCACCGGCAACCAAGTCGGCGCTAAATGTCTGTGCACGCGATTCACCGTAACCTCCAAAAGCCCCAAACTGCCGCCGTAGCAGACGACCAAGTGTTCACCGCGTTCCGCATTCGAGTCTCTTCGGTTTCAGCATTTTGTTTCAACTTACTTTTTTTAATCAAGGTGATCGCTTCCATATAAGTGTTCCACATGTTGTTAAAAAAACGTATATGATATATCTTCAATAATAATGTAAATATTACACGCTAGAAAAAAAAGATAATAAAAAAGGCCGCTTGGCGGCGCTATTTTGGCGCTCGTGCATGTTGTGAGGTGGAACATCGAGCTTGGACATCTCGTGGAGAAAAGCCGACAGGCATAGTGCTGGGCCAAGGACCTGTAAATATTAAAATGGTGTGTATAGAGTGTGGTGGAAAGCACTCATTCATGGCTCTAACCTACGTGCTCAAGTTTAGTGTTGGTCGTGCTGGTCACTTCACAGTCGAAGAGCGAGGACAAAGAGATATCGTGTGCGCGCAGGGTACATTACCGCTGCTTCTGTTAAAATGACACATAATACCTAGAGCACTTTTTAATACCTGTCGTTTTATTGTAACTAATGGAACCTATTAATTAGGGCTGGGCAATTGATCGATTAACCTTCTGATTAAGCGATTAAGGTTTTAACCGCGATAAAATTTCAACCGGTTAGTTGGTTCTATCCTGGACGACCTGCCCGAACTAGGGGCGACTTCATGCCCCCCCCCCCCCCCCCCCCCCCTTAAGGAAAACGCTGCGTGTCGTGCACCCGGTCGTCCTGTCCTGAGCGGTTTTCTGTTCCCAGCCAGGTGCTATGAGTACGAGCAAGGGTCGATTCTCGCACTCGCGAAGCGTCAGGTGTTCGAGGATAGACATTATAGTTCTACCGAGGCCAGACGAACAAGCCGGGCCCGCAACTGATCTTTTTACGACCGCGAAACTTCACATGTTGAGGATCTATTACACATCCTGCCCAAGACAAACAAGCAGAAAAACAAGCTGGGAAGCTAACAACACCTTGGTTACTTGCTCCAGTATTCGGCCCGTACAAATGGACGAGTTCACGAGTATGAAAGGCAATCTCGCTGGAAAGTTGGGGTTTAAACTCCAGCGGTGAAGTTTTTAACTCGAAGGAGGTCCACTACATCATCTGAAAAAAATCCGTTTTTATACAGTGGAAGCGTACGTTCGCTTCAGTATCGCCTACGAGCGAAGCACCCATGTACGCTGCTGCAGCAGGGACCATCCGCCAAAACGCAGACAACAATCAACGCCTTCTTATCGAGGCCCTTTTCTCTGGAAAAAGAAGAAAGCATCGCCCAAGCCCTGACTTCTTGTCTTCCTGTCGGAGAATGTTTACAAACTTCTTTGTCTTCGGAGCTGGAGCAAAAATATGTGAGTCTTTGAATCGTTGAACTATATGTATCCTCAATTGTAAATGTCCTTTGCGCCGTGTAACAGAAAGTAAAATAAGTCTTCAAAGCCAAGACGAGTTGTTACCCATTCTTTTTAATATATTATTTATAAAAATCAACGCAACCGATTAATTAATCAATTAAAGGGTGGCGATTAATCGGGTTAAAATTTTTAATCGACGCCCAGCCCCACTATTAATGCATGATGTAATTTATAGATTACATTTGTTGATTTGTTTATTGTGCAGCTCAGGAGAGCAGGACCACTGTGATGTATGCGTTGCACCCATACTAAAGGTGTTCTACACAGTGCCACTTAGGCACTGCGGTACTGCGCCTAAGTTATACAAATTCCTTTCAGATATTTTAGACAAAAGAAAATTTAGAGAGAGCGTTTTCCATATGGCAGGATAAGTCGCAAGCAAACGCCAGATGTACTTACCCACTGTAGCACGTGCCTAATGTATCAAGGTTTCAGGTGGCAATTATACATTTTCTAAAGTGCGCCTCTCCAATAGAGGCTGCGTCGGTTATCCGAAGACGCCATTTATGGAGTGGACAACAGCCCTGCGCCAGGTCTCGGGTCCAGTCGCACGCTCCGTCCACGAAGCGATGCCCACACTATGGCGGCTGGCAGTGTTGCTGGATGAAATTTTGAAAAGGAAATATTCGCCGGAATAAAGAGTCGAAACGTGTGTTCTCCAGTTGTTAACAAAAGCTTTATACAAAATATAAATTTTACACGGATGACCACAAAATTATGAAGAATAAAAAAAAAAAAAAAAAAAGGAAAAAGGAACAGCCATAATAGTACAAGGATAATATCCGATTCTGAATGAACATTTTGAGATCCAACGCTCGTGGCTTTCGGAGGCACATGTCTCCAGGTAGCGAAACAATCGCAGTGCCACGAAACGTGGAAAGGCCTCACTTCTCGGCACAGGAAATACTAGATTTCTCCAGCGTCAATTCGCGACGACTTTTTCCTATGTGGTATATATTTTGTTTATTTAAAAAAAAAACGATAAAAAAAAACAAAAAAAAAAAACAAAAAAAAACTAGGAGCAACTTTTCTCAGCCATCGCAAAAAGCTCACTTCTTTGGCGAATGACCAACGTGGCTAATATAATATTTCTTTGGCACTGTTTGGAGGAAATAAAACAAGAGGGAGATAGGTACTGGTTCTCTCTATGAAGGATCGGAAGAAACTGCGATCGAAGATGTGTTGTGACATTTTCTCTCCACGAGGGCTTTCTCACTGCAAAAAGAGCGGAGTCTGAAAGGTTTACAGCAGCGATGAGTACACAGGAATCGCTAAGTAACGCAAAAAGAAAAAGAAAAAAGAAACAGGTCAAACACAGAACAGTACATTCTTTCACTGCTAACAGAAATAGAACAGATCATTTTGGCACTCGTTTCGGAGCGATCGGCTGCACTATGGTATCATTGCTTTATATTGGTATAACAAAGCGTGAACTGCCAGCGAAAACTAGTAAATCAGCTGGTGACATATTCCATTACAACCAATCCAAGATTGTCTTACGAAAAACAAAGAGAATAAAAATGCAAAAGCTTAAAAGGCGACGTTGCGTATACTTTGGAACTGGCGTCGTAGCAATGCAAATAAAATTACGGGAGCGAGAAAAAAAAATTAAGGAAAGGTCAGGAGTGCATTTTTTTTCCCTTAAAACTTCCGCCGAAAATGCAGGCAGTTTCGACAAAGCAAAGCGATGGGGGGTTCAACTATAATACAGAGTGACTAGTTACACTCATCAAGGAGGCTACAAGTCTGTACGCCCAATAGAAAACATTTGATGGAGAAACGAGACTGTTTAGAGAACGCAGAAGAGTCACCCATCGAACGACACACCAACGCAGCGAACACTAATAAGTCCAGGTTTCCTGCCGACCGAAACCTGCTCTGATCTTTCTGTATGGTCGTTTGAAAGCCGTTTCGTACAAAATAAGGCTGTTTTAACTTAGGAAACTTACCGAGGAACATCGTCACAGGTTTTGATTAAATAATATCAATGTACCAAAAATAAAAATTGTTTTTTTTTTTCTTTTGCGCGGGGGATTCGGAAAATACAGTGAAAGAGAATTTTCGAGACACTGACTCAACTCTGTGTTGTTGCGCGGAAAAAGGGTGACTCTACTGCACCGGCTGCGAGAGCAAAGCAAGGCGCTAAGAAAACCTGGCGTACTGACGGAGAAGTCGCCGATTCGAATGGGAAAGTGAAGTGAATCAATGAATAGTTGACGTCGCTTGAGAAATGGTAAAACGAAATGAAAAAGAAAAAGCTGAATGCAAAGACAAAAAACAAAAACGCGAAAAATAACTGTCTTGCGCTTTATATTTATATACAAGTGTGGTCAGCGTGTTATACCGAGAATTTTTTGGTACACTAGCAATATGATATAAAAACGAAAAAAAAAAAAAAAACTAATGCGCCGCGAAACAATATCGCGTTCGAGACAAAAACAATCGAAGAAAATGAGACATGGACCCAGAACTGTGTCCAAAAATGAACTCTTCCGACTATTATATATATATATTTCTTATATATAATATGTATAGTATATATATACCTGGAGATTGCATGTTGTGCGCGAGCTTTCCGTGATGTCGCGGCTTTTTACACACGCGCGTGCGCGAGAGTAATGTTGCGTAATGTGACAATTCATCTCGATGTGGACAGTAACGGATGAATAACGGAACGCATTTGGTTTGAGGTATGTACACTGGTTGATTGCATATGGCGGTCATATGCGCGCTGCATTTTGTAGCATTTGCTTTCTGTCGGCATTCACGTGTGTCTTCACGAGAGCTGGACAAACAGAAATCTTTTCTTTCTTACGGAAAGCAAAAAAAAAAAAAAAGCCACAAAGGGAATTGCACGTAGGTCCCGAAAAAGGACTATTATTCTCTGACTAGTGTCTGATTCTTAGCTTGTCTTTTTATACTTCTTTTCTCGGTCACAAATATATCCCGTTTGATTAGGTTTTTTGGTATCATACTTTGACGTAGATTACATTGCAGGACGACTAGATGGAACGACCAATTGAGGAGGGACTACTGACCGGAAAGATTAAAAAGGGGCAAATACAGGAGAAAAAAAAAGACGTCTAGAAAATTGTGAACACTGCCTCAGTAAAATATAGCTGAACATAAAATCAATGCACCATACAAATGTAGGCATTTCTTCGTTGTCGTCATCACAACGCGAGCATCTGGAAGAAGTTTCGTGAAGTGTGGTGGTGAAAATCAGGCTCTTCCGTGGATACACGGTCATTCCAGCTATGCACAAACGTGTTAAAAATAATAAACAAGCGCTTTTTCACATTGCTTTTCAAGCGTGAGGAGTAACCAGCGAGGCCGACTAGGGGCCTCTCCTTCTAACAAGTGGCAGGGCACGCCGCACTAACTGCAAATGCGCCAGAAAAAAAAAAAAAAAAAACACTAGTAAACCAAAAAACCAAAAAACAAACACAGGAAACAGCAGTGGACTATGCATACCTATGCGCAACCGTTTCTGGTCAAGAAGTGCAAATAAAAACACAACTGGTAAGATCGTACAGAAAACGAAGCAGCTTCACAGACACACGAAATGCTAGATCGCGCACGCTGTCGCGCCCATAGAAGACAGACAGGCAACAGCAGCGCGTCTTTCTCACTTTGCCACGCGCACAAGCACGGAGACAGCCATAATGGAAGCGGCCGTAAAAACGGAGTTATATTAGTATACATCCGGCGAAATGCTGCGACAGTTTTCAGAGTCCGTTTCCCTCTTTCATTTCTTTTCCCTTCTTATTTTGATCCCGTAAGCTGCGTGTTCGCGGACACTGGACCGGCGCAAAGTTGGTCCGCGGGTCATGGGGGACTCCGAATTCTCGAAAGTAACTCGAAGGGTCACACACGCACTGGCCGGGAACGTGCTGGGCGCAGCGTGCGAGTCCAAAGCAGCGGTGCGCGTACCGCGAAGTTCTCCTTCCTCCGGTCCGTCGCTCGGCGAGGCCTCAGAGGTGGCTCCTTGATGGGGGAGCCATCCGGCCCACGTCTCGGTGCGTTGTGCCGGCAGGATGTTCAGCAGTCCCTTCACACGCATGCGTGCGAAGCTCTTCCCTCGAAATACTGATTCCGGATTGTGAACGCGGCCGTCGCGATCGTCCAAGCCGCGGACGAGGAGGCGCCGTAGGTCGGCCGGCTGGACTGCCGCGTGGGTGGACGTCCGGGCCGTCGCCGCCGCATGGAATGGGGCAGGAGCGACCGTGCTGCGATGCACGGAATACTGTGGAGTATCCTCGACGGAAGAGTCGCCGGTGACGGCGCGCAGCACGCCAGTGGACAGTCTCTCGCGAGAAGATTGCATTCCCCGTTGGCAGCACGACGAAAGCCTTTTTGTTCCGAAGTGGCTCGAAGTGGTGGGTGGCGGCAGCGGCAGCCACTTACTTGCCATTCTCTCTGTACGGCTTGCAGTAGCTGAACCTGTGGTTCATGTGCTGACTGTACGAGCCAGAGTGGGAAAAGCGCTTGAGGCACTTCTGGCACTGAAACGGTTTCTCGCCGCTGTGCAGCCGCTTGTGCTCCGTCAGGTGGTGCTTGTGCTTGAAAGCTTTTTCGCACACATCACACTTGTGCGGCCGTTGCCCTGCGAAAGCAAAGAAGACGCGAAGCGATCAGGCCATGTCCCACTTTTTCTTTCCATGTTTTCTTTGCAATCACTCGCAGTATCAGGACGGCAGGGAGGATTTTCAGTTGTCCCTCGTCCAGCGCCAGCTGGCCCGTTCACACTCTTGCAACCGAGTACGACAAAGAGAGACGGGACCTGTTGAAACCTCTTAAAATTTCTTAGGACGAGTGAACACACTGGCGTTCTGGCGCCATTTATGCGGTGACTATAGAACTGCATTTTGGAAGAGCGAAGGTTTTTGTGGGATTTCCGACGTCAAATGTGCGTAATACCTGTAAGAAAGGCTCGTTTATAACGTTCACAAAAGTTTTTCGAGCCAACAAAGAAAGGATAATACGCGAGAGAAATAGAAAATATGCCTGACCGCCAATTTTACACTGCTACCCAATAGATGGCGCCAGTGTGTCCTCCTGTTGTAAGAGATATTAAGAGGTTCCAAGGCACCCGTTTCTAAGAGGTCGCAACTGTGTGAACGGGCCTTTATACGTTCGATAGCAGGTCGGCATCGTGCGAGATTCAACCGTGCGCGCCCAGTCATAGCGCAACAAAGGGCAACGAGAGCGAGCTGGAGGCACCCGAAAGAGACGCCCGGCACTCCTTGGCCTGTAAGATATATAGTCACTGACGGGATGAGACCGACAGGGCGGTTCTCTGGATGCCCGGCCCCCAGCACGAGCTCGCGCTGCTCTTCGCCGCGCCTTGGCTGAGCGAGCACGCTCGAAGCCCGCGAGACAGTCTTATCGAACGTTGGAAGCTCGCGCTGGAAGCGGGACAATGGGAAGGCCTTCGAGCTTGACACTCTTATTCCGTCAGCGACTATTGAAGACGTGAGCGATCGAAAGCGTCGCTGGGATCGACCAGTCACGATTGGCCGATTGCTGCCTATGAGCTCAGCACAGGATTTCTCATCGACGGAAATACGAGAAATGAGAGAACTTCGATTTCGACGGTGTTGGTTGACAGTGTTGGTTTCAGAGCGCAAAAATTTCAAGCTTCCACCGTGCCCGTTACAAACGCCATCGAATTAGTTGTTCGCTAGGTAATGACGTCAGGAGAGGTAACCATAGGAGGGCGTCACCAAAACACCTCGCCGCCAATAGCATTCTAAACTCCAAGCGGAAATAAGTCAAGCCGTGATAGGCAATCAGGCGACATCGTATGCAGAACGGGTAAACACCAGCTTAAAAAAATGCGCGACTTAATTAAATGTCCCAGACAAAAAAAATTACCCTACATTAAAAAGACCAGGTCCGAAAGTTCATCCTAAAAATGGGGAAGAGATTTCAACATACGGAAACCGTTGCAACACAGCATGCCTGAGTTCGTGAAACAAGAATGTGCGTTGTTTATACACTCCCGGTGTACAGCGGGCAAGCCATGCATGCGTGGATGGGAGAAAGCGGGAAGAAGGAAGGAATCTGTACGAGCAGATTTGCCCCATAGCTCAGTCTTTCAGGTCGCACCAGCGTTCCTTTTTTTATACGAGAAACGAGGAGATGCCGCCAACAGATTTTGCACCGGTGAAACTGGGACAGACTTGAGAGTCCTATACAGTTACGTTGAGTGCTCGCATACACTACAGGGCTCGAACGAGAATATTAAACGTGGTTTATCGGCCCGCAAAAATAACTAAGCAACGCAGAAAGCTGGAACTCCGTGAGAGCGTGACGGCAGCGGTGGTGACAAAATGCGAAAGTTCAAGAACATGACGTTACCTGGATCAAAAGATACCATAAAAATACAAAACTCCTCTATGAACCGACGCCCACCTAAGCCTAATACTCATCCGACCAGAAAGCCACACACGTGGGCGCCTGTAGCATTAATTGCAGTGAAAAATGCTTGTTAGCAAGAGGGACGATATTGTTTGCTCACTTACTGACAAGATTTTTTTTTTCGAAAATAAATGAAAGAGGCTTTTACAATGTCAATTCTTTGTTTGATAAATATATAGGTGGACCTCGGCTCAGATAAATGTTGTTTTTCTCTCGTATATTTTGATCCAGGTAACGTCACGTTTTAAACTTGGGCATTTTGTTACCACCGCTTGCGTCGCGTTTTGATGTTCAGCTTTCTAAGATGTCTCGTTAATTTTGGCAGGCCGAAACACCGCGTTTCATGTTCTCAATCGATCCCTCTATATCACTTGAGTCTAAACATTGAGTTACATGATGCTAAACAACGACTTACATCGTGCTCAGCGGAGCAATGCTGCTCAGCTCGCCTGATCGGGACAGCGAGATCAGCAAGATATCCCCGAGCATGCTCGTTTGCTGACCTCTTTTCGTCAATTATAATGCATAGAGCTCGCGTGCTCAGTGAGATAGTTGACGCCTCTATCCATAAACAGGTTCTATACGCGAAAAAGCGCAGATTTTGTTGTATTTGCAAGGTAACGAAAGAAAACGATTTCCATCCGACATAATGAATAATACCGCCCAGCTCTAAACTGATTCAAGACTATTTATACGACTGAAATTCTCAAGTGAGCAGAACTGATATCTCTTAACTGGAAGTGGAACCTTGCGCAATACCCCCGAATTCATACGACAGCAGTCGTGCGGACCCGAGCTCGCGAGAGGACTGAAACACAGCCCACACTTCTAATGTCAATTGAATAACGTCGCGGCTGTTGCCGTTGCTGTGCGATCACAGTTATTATTCAGAGGTGCGAGCGTCGAGAAAAAGGTCAGCATTACCGCAGACTCGGAGAACACAGGCGCAGGCCGACTATAACGCACAATCGTGGCAAACCTTCACCAAAGGTCGTTCCGCTGGAAATAATGCTTTTCGGAAACAAGGTAACACCTGCGAAATTCACGGAAACTCTCCTCAGCGATCGCCTCGGTAAAGGTTTGACGGAAATGAAAAGAAACGCAGCGTCCGCTCACCGGAGTGTTCGTACTTGTGCCTTGCGAGAGAACTCTGCTTGCTGAACATCTTGTCGCACTGGTCGCACGAGAACATGCCCTCCTCGGAGGCGCTGTCTCCCCGGGCGGACAACTTTCGCTTCTTGGCCCCAGGTTGGCGAGGGTCGTCGTCGGTCGACGGACTGTCCTCGGCGACGCTGTCGTCTCCAGCTCCGCTCCCAAGCTCGCCCTGGAAAAACGAATAAGCGAAAACATGTATTTAAATTTGTGACGCTTCGAACGATAACACGTAAGCAAATCCATGCACGAGGGATTGGTTTGCGAACACAGTCGCGTTATTTCATGAGCTGGCAATGCCACACTGTTGGTCGGCATATTGTCCAAGTATGTAGGGCGGCACTTCCCGTATAGCCCCGATAGAATATTAAAACAAATTAAAAAAAAAAAGAATGCTTCCGCGTGCTACATCACGTGAATCCACGTGACATGGGTCGACGCTTGGCCGCACAGATTGAACGCCAGGATCTATACTGATATCTAAAGCTCTGCCACCTGTGAATGAAGTCATGAACCATAATGACAAACTCAAAGGAAAAAGGGGGGAGGGGGGGAAGCAAACAAGTACCTGGGTTCGCGCAAAAAAGAAATTAAGCTAAAATGTTACAATGCAGAAGACGACTGTACCTGCTTGAAGGCTTGCCTCTGGAATGCCTTCATCTTGGGACTTCCGGGCTCGCCGTCGATAGGGTCGTCGTGATAATACGGCGACACCGCCATCTTGCCGTCGCACAGGTTGGACGCGCCGTGCGGGCTGGCCGTGCCGTCGTGGCTGTCCGACGAAGTCGACGACCGAATGAAATCAGCACTCGGAGGCGACAGCGCAGCGTGCGGGGACGCCAGCAGCAGGCCGGCGACCGAGGACGGCTCTGAAAACACCGGAGGGAAGCCGTGCTGCTGCCGGTCCGCGAAGGATTCCCGATATCGGTGGAGGTCCACCTGACCGTCTAGATCGTAGCCCTTGAGCGCCGAGAGGGCCAAGTACTTGCTCGCCGCCGGCAGGAGCGGACTCGGGGAGTGCCTGTGCAGGAGCGACATCTTGTAGTCTTCGGACGCCGCGTAAGGCGCGAAGGACCTCGCCGACGGAGACAGGTGACGCTCAGGAACCGCGGAGTGACCGTTGGAAGCTGGGTGGTGACCCTCTCGCGGCGTCGACGTCCTGGGAGACTTGCGACTAAGATTAAGTGCCTCGTACTCGTTGTCGGAATCGGCGCCGTTGCTCCACGAAGGACCGCTCTTGCTCTTCACCGACAGGTCGAGCGGCTGCTCGGCGTCGTTGGGCGGATTCGAGCGCGGGCTCTTCAGTAAGGGCTCCGCGTCACCGAAGGCGCTCCCGGGTGCGTAGGAGGCCGGCAGCACAGAACGGAAATCTACGGACTTGGCAGGAACCGAGGTGGGGCTATACGATGATGCCCGCGAGGACGGACGCTTGGACGCATTCTCGAACCAGGCGCGCACTGCTCTCGTGCTGCTCCCTATCGCCTGGGCAAGGCTGGCGATGTCCTTCTTACCCGGGGACGGGTTGATGAAGAAGGCCGTGTCCAGAAGCATGGCACCCTTCTCGGAAATCTTGCAGGACCTCAGTTCCCCTTCGTCCCCACTGTCGCAGTTCGTGTCGCTGCTCGAAGATTCGTGGCCTGGTTCCGTCTTGGGCACCTTGAGGTCCTGAACCAGGTTCCGGTTCACGTCCCTGTTCGCGCTGCACATGAACCGCTCGTGTTGGTAGAGAGCCAGCGGGCTGTCGAACGACGCCGTCCTGCAGTGGCGGCACCTGTACTCCCGTCTGCAAGATGAGGAGTATCTGGCGGACTCGTCGGCGCCGCTGCTGTGAAGTGGTCCGGCAGCGAGAAGCTCGGGAAGGAGGCCGTTCTTCTTCGAGGCAGGCGGCGGAGAACCGTTGTCCTGTTTGACCGCTGCACACTCCATGAACTCAAACATCTTCTTCACGTAGTCCACCGAAGGTGTCTTAGACGATCCGTTGCCGACCGGAGGACCGCACTTCTCGGCATTTCGGGCCTGGAGGATCTGCGCCATCTCGTTGTACGTGGGCGCCAAGGGAAGGTAGTGGGCCGGCAGCGCGGAGCCCGAGAACTGGGTCGCTAGCAGGTGATGCAGGGCGAGCGGGGACGCGTACGGCGAAGGGAACGGTTGCGGCGCCGAGCCCTGGCCGCCTCCCCCGGGGGCCGATTGGGAATGGCCGTAGTCCGGGGCCGAGAAAGGGAAGCGGTCGTAGAGGAAAGGACCCGATCCGGCTAGGGGTGAAACGGACACTTCACCGCCGGCGCCGAACTTAGGGATGATGGGCCGAAAGGTGTTGTTGTTGTTGTTGTTCTGGGATCCGCCGTTGCTGGCACGTCCTCGCGCTGCCTTGGTGTCCATCTTGCGAACCTGCGGTTACACGAGAAACGAAATTAATACTGCGCGCCTGGAGGTGGCGGCAAATCGTGCGCGCATCACAATGTTGATCTGTCAGCGTTCTGCGCTATACTCAAAGAAGCGGCTTTTACGTCACGTCACTGCGGTGGCTGTGTTGTCGTCGCATGCGCCTCACTTCAAGCGGTTTATGCGCAGTGTCCACACCTGGTGTGGGCAAACGTTGACTTGTTTGAACGCTGGCCTGTAGAAAGGCTAAGCTGAAACAGCGAGACGTACGGTTGTGCAATGCGCAAATGGAGAGCTTGAGCGAGTGGCAATAGGTTGCAAGGCTAAGGTGAGACTAGAGTTTGCCCCTAACGCGCTAAAAAGGCACGGGGACCTTCTCTTGAAGAGACCTTTTTCCCCAAAAAGTTAAAATGGACGCTAGACTAGCTTTGAAAAGACCTGAGAGTCCTTTCTTCTACGTGTCGAAAAAGAGAAAAGGAGAAAAAAAAAAAAAAAAAAGAAAGGAGACATACCGACGTCGGGCGGCAGATGCAACAAAGGATTCTAACAGAGCTCGTTAAAAAAGTGAAATTCGGGCTGCTCTACTCACGGCACGTCAAAGGATCGTTCTTTCGCGGGCTGCAGGTGTCGCGCAGTATTTAACGGGCACACATTAATGGAACTCGAGCGACGCGAGCAAGTTCGGCGCGCTGCTCCACCGTGCAAGAAAGCAACGCGAGTTCCGAGGCACAAGTGCGCTTGGCATCGGTCCCGCGGACCGGCAAGAGGCACGGAGGAGACATTCAAAGTTCGCGAAGCGCTCCAACGAAACGGTGCAGGCAGCGTTCCTGTTCGGGAGGAGGGGAGGCGTACACGGGGGCGGGAAAAAAAGGGCCCTTCTTTCCTTCAGCTCGAAACACAGCACCTATCTCGGAGGGGGCGACGAGATGGGAACACAAAAGACAACCAGGGGTAGAGCACCACCGACCCTCCCCACTCGTACCCCCCCCCCCCCCCCCCCCTACCCCACCCGGAGAGAACAGAGGAGAAAGGGAACAGGAGACCCCCAGCGGAGGTAGCCGGTCTCGCCGAACGCAGTTTTATGTTCGCTTCGCTCCAACTTCCAAGGCGAGGCCGGCATCCGATTCCGTTCCTGGCGACTTCTCAGCTTCTCGACGTCCCGGCCTTCGCTTTGGGCCCAGATGGAGGGACGGCAGCCCCGAGGTGCGCCGAGGAAACGAGAAGGGGACTTTTTCGTGGCGAGAATGGGGGGACTCCAGCTCGTTTCGCGTCCCACCTGCTAAGCCAGCAGGGTCTGTCCCCTCGATTAGAAAATAAAATAAAAGGTAAGAAAAAACTAACTCGGCAAAATGAACCTTGCTGAAGTTTTGCTTCTGCGCGAAATGGCGCGGACGCGTCTACGATGAAAAGAGTGATTGTGGAGGCAGATTAGGGGATGGAATCCTTCGTCTTTGACGGCTGAATCTGTGCTATCAGAAAGCTTCTTTCGAACGTTATTGAGCCTTAACCTATGTAGGTACGTAGCGGTGACAGGTAAAGGGTTTTAGGGGAAACTCCTCCCCTCTTTGCACTTCAGCAGAGCGAAAGCTGGACAAGAGATCACCTTCTTTCCAGCGTTCGCTCTGCTAAAGTGGAAAGCGGAGGGAGGAGCTCCCCCGAAATCTTGCGTGTATTTTACAAACTACGTGAAAAAGTCTTTGTCCTTCGGGTACACGTTTTGTTTAACCAGGAATTCATAGAATGACGCCCCGTCGAAGACAAAAGGCTGTAAACTTTTGCTTTCTCAAAAAAAAAAAAAAAAAAAGGAAAGGAAATTAGCAGTGCTTTTGCGCCTCTGGATGGTAAATAGGAGGCAGATAGCTCGCTTCGTGTCACAGAAAAATATTGAGCATGGCGAGAATGATATCACGTGATTACCAAATAATGTCTGGTATTTATTAGAAGCAAAATTTAGGCCCAATGATTGTCGATGCAACACGTTCTCAACCCAGTTGGGCACCGCTTGAGAGTGAGAGCTCCCCCGCAAATTTGGACATCACGAGTCACGCACATAGGACCACGTCATCCGCGATATCACTGGAAAAGCTTCACGGCACAGGCCTTGTGTCGGGTAAACACCGAGCTCTGTGGGAAACGAGCTGAACAGAGAGCCCCCTCGATCTGCTCGCCATTCTATGAACGGCTTCAACGGCACACGGAAAGCAAGGACTTTGATTCCGCCCCAACAACAATGTCGACGTCCTTGTTCTTAGGCTTTCCACCTCCCCCTTCTTCAGAGAACGGTGAAACACCACTTAAAGGTTGAGTTCGCAGTACTCAATTTCAGTAAACAGCGTGTCTTATGCGCTATGTTTGCTCCGTGGAAGCCGGGATTCTTCGCTTAATTTAAGGATATCTCCGGTACAATTTCCCGAGTTGAGGGTTACGACAGATTTTAGTGAAGAAAATGTCCCTAAATTACAAAATCTCCGTTTTTTGTTATGCATTATGTAGTTTTGTAAATATCCTATCTCAAAGATGTGTTAGGGGATCCACGCCGAAACCGAAACTAACGACTTGAACAAGATGGCCACCCAGGGTCTTCGGGTGACGCAATGTTCATGTTGCAGTACCGCAAAACGTACGACTGGCCTAGTCGCAAGAATATTTCCGATCGGTGAAGTAAGATGCTGCGGCAGTTTTACCGCTTTGCTTCGTAGATATCAAACATCCGTAGCGAATATTAATAAACATTCATAAAGTGGTCAGGAGAAAAGCGAGTTCACCACAATGAACGCAGGGCTCAGACTATTTTTTTAACAAATTCATAATTACACAATTTAGAAAGAAAAAAGAAAAGCTGCATATGTCATATCGTTTTCGTAGGCGGAACAGAAGCATGCGCTAAATCTATATGAACAAGCCAGTCGACACACTTCATTAATTAATCGCGGAAAAGACGTTATGTCAACGGAAAATATTCAGAAAAGACAGCTTGATTAGCAACACAAAATCACAAAACGCATCCACCGCTCATGCGCCGACAAGAAGGGAAACAAACTTATTCTAATGTCGAATAGCAGCTACGTGAGACATGTCGATACAGATGTGGGCTTCCAGAGCAGTGCCAGATTAACAAGAAGAAGACTTTACGAGAAAAAAAAAATAAAAATAAGAGGACGAAGCCTGCAGCACCGCCGCAGATGGTCATTATATCGTCACGTTGCGCTAGTTCCAATTAACTCCAGCCCAACAATTATAGGTACGACACCATTTCCGCATCTGGCAGTTGCAATCTGTTTGGAGCACGCGGTTCCAAGCAAGACGTTTTAAAAAGCGCAAGCGGTTTTTTTTTTCTTCTTCGTTTTAGCGGTTTGTTTCTTCCGGTTTCGCACCGAGCTTTCCCATCCAAGAAGGCGCGGGTCGGAGAAGACTGCCGGCCCATCTGGGATCGCTTTGTTGCCCGCGCTCGCCTCGGTTGTCGCTGGCTGTCGCGGCGGCGACACACGCAGCTTTGAAGAGATGAAAACAATTAACCTTCGCTAATCCAGACGGTTCGAGACGCGTCCTTGCTTACGTCTGGTAACCGGACGAGCCGGGGCTATGTGTGCGGTGCTGCCAGGGTGGTCCGAGGTCGGCTGGGCTGCCATTAGCGTGAGCCATGGTCGTCTCGCGTACCGCACCGCTCCCGTTTTAGAGAACAATGCCTGCGTGCGGGTGCTCAGGGGCGCTTCAAAGCGGCGCGGCACAGGAAGCTTACAAATTGAAATAACCTGACTGCTGATATCCACCGGCTGTGGCGTCGTGGGCCAGCCGGTTGACGGCTGTTTATTTATTTAGTTTTTGTCGGGGGCAACCGTTATTGTGTATATACCTGCAACGCTAAACAAACAGACACCCCCACACACACAAAAAAAAATGAAAAAGAACTAACGTTGTTTGCACGATGTAGCGATGCTTTCTATTTTACGGAAAGCGGAATGGAAAGCGATGCTTTCCATTCCGCTGAGAAGTTTGGAACCATAATTACAGGTGGCATTGAGTCTATTCATGAGCACAATTTCTACCAGCAGCTTGTTTTCAAGAACTGTCTGGAGCGTGCCGAAGGCGAGCATTCCAAGGCATGACGTGACACCCTCAGATGCATAGAGCAGGAAAGCTTTTGAGGCTCACCACGCTGCCATAATCCTCTTCCCTCCTTACGATTGGATGACACAATAGATACGTGTTCTCAGTCGAGCAACATAATGGCGGATTCGCGTCATATTAATATCTCGTTATCGCGTGGGTTTCCTCTAGCGCGTCATGTGCGGGAGAGTGCTGCCTCTGTCTACACTGCACTCGTCAAACGCGTTAAAACGCGAGACGCCAGCGTCCGGCGTTTGGTTCTCGTATTCGAACGCTATCGACGAGTGCGGTTAAGACAAAGGCAGCTGACGTTCGCGTCTCTGAGTATAACCCCGAAAAAGCATCTGGGCGCGAATAGCGAGAGAAAAGAAAAAGCACCTTTAGGTTGACGATGAGGCATTTCTTGCTCGTCATGTGCGAGGAGTAGGAGCCCGAGTGGGAGAAGCGCTTGCGGCAGTGCTGACACTCGAACGGTTTCTCGCCGCTGTGGATGCGCATGTGCTCCTTCAGGTGGTGCTTGAACTTGAAGGCCTTGCCGCACGTTGGCTCCGTGCACTTGAACTTGCGCAGCACAGCGTTCTCGTCCTGCGCGCGGACAATCGGGGCGAGAGGCCCATTCACATCGCGTGCAAAGAATACCGCGCCTCCCGTCAAGCTTCAACACATCCTTACTGCGAAATCAAAATTTGGCTAGGTGCGTGCTACAGGGTACTTCTTGCTAGCACGAGCAGTGTGGGGATAGTATTCCTAATAAACTCGAATAACGGCTATTGCTAAATTCGAATTTCAAACGTACATAGCTGAAATTGGCACACGAACGTAGTTTCGCCACAAGTCTCTCTCTTTCGGAGCTCAAGTTAGAGGTTGTAAAGTAATAAAAATATAGAGCAAAAACGGTGTCCGTGTATTTTTTTCTGCCGGATGTTCGTCGTCTGCACACTGGTTTGTGAGCTCGCACCCAGGTGGATATTAATTGTTATATATTTCGTTGAAAAATATTTATCGCCACTATCCCGTTTCGCTCATCGCCGGCCTTTACTATTGGTTCTTAGCGTTTTTGCGTTGAGCAAGCGACCTGGGAGCGAGCTTATAAACCAGTGTGCAGACGACAAAAAGGCTAGTATAGGACGTAGGAAATACACGGCCTCCGATTTTGCTTTATTTTTAGTATTACATAACCTCATAATTGAACTCTAAACGAAAAACAAAAGAGGCAAACAACTTTTTTTTTTTTTTTTTTAATATACAAGAGTCAAAAATCACAGGGACAAAAAAGAGTTTAAAGAACACAAGGCGCATTCGCAACTGAAGTTTATTAAGGAAAAAGACGCAAAATATAGGCCGTCGTAGAACGCTTATTCGTCAGTGACAATCGATGTAACCCCTCGATAAAATCAAACTCTTTCCTTGAGAGAGCAAGAGAGGGTTCTCCGACGCACTCGTTTCCTTTTGCCCTAATCTCAAACGCTATAATGTACTTCTCGGCACACTTTTTCTGTATATTTCGCTAGAATCTTAACGTCATGGAGAACTGGTAAGTGTGGGAAACGACTTCAATGGATGGCGAGATTACTAGGAGGGCTCGCTTTCATGGCTGCCGCATGTTCGCGTGCACGGTCACTGACACACCTACTCGTTTGACTTATTGAATTGAATTGGTTTGATTTAGACTCTAGGTCAAGGGTAACAGGACAAAAGGCAGATTAACTCTGCCTGACGTCGCCCTATGCCCAGCAGGCGTACACGGAACCGCAAGTCAGCGGTATCTCGTACTCCACTCCCATGGCATAGTGATTTTTTTTTTCCGTGTTTTATGCTGCACTGCTCTTTAAATGGTTGGGGACAGTTGATTCTGCGTCACAGACGTACCATTTTATAGGGGGCTGGGAATACCACCTAAACTTAGAATCGCTGTGCAACTTTTTTTTTTTTTTTTTTACTTATGGGGCATTATGTGTTTTTTTTTTTCCCCTAAATAAACTTGAGTTGCGAGTGCGCCTTCTGTTGTTTCCACTCTTCTTTGCCCCTGTCGTTTTTGGCGCTTTTATATATTTGACTATGAACCAGCTTGCCCAAATTTCCACTACGCAAGTTTGTGCAAAAACTACATTCTCGCGCCCCATTTCAGGCATGTACGTTTGGAATTGCGAATTCTGCAAGACGCGCCGATAGTGGTGGTCCTTACGGCCGCACCCTGTGCAATCACCGAGGTAGTGAGTCAGAGAGTAGAGCGCAATATTTCCCTACATGCAAAACCAACGTGAAGCTCTTGTGACGTCAGGCCGCAGCGGTGGCGCTGCTGTCGATACGACGCATGCGCGAATGTGGATCCTGCGAGCTTGTTATGAAACAGCCTGCCGGCGTAAGAGAAGCGCTTCGCCACGGCGTACCTGACGATAAAACCCGGTGTGCAAAAAGTAGCCTTGCGCATTTGTTGTTTACAGTCAGCGTGTGTGGTTACTAACTGATACGGTCAGGGGAAGCGCCACGGTACAGGGCGCCGGAAGAAGACGAAGCGCGCAAGCAAAAGGGGCTCCGGCGGCGGCCCTGTCCTTCGATGCGGGCCTTGCCCCGAAGGATGTGCCAGTAGAGTCCAGATTAGATCGCTTCCTTTTCGGTCCATGTATCAGTGTTGCAGCCGATCCAAACCGACGACGGACAAGGAAGTCCGAACAGCGAAGCCGTAAACAGGCTCCCAATATCGCGCCTGGCAGTGTCATTCTTTTGTATCGAGGCAGGCAAGCAGTTCCCCAAGCAAATTTTTTATTACAAAAAAAATAAAATGATAAAAATAGGCAAGTTGACAACGGCTTCGATACAAAACAATAGAAGCGACACTTTCTGCGCGAACATGAAATCGGCACTTCTTCGCAATTTCCTGCAGACTATTGGGAAGCGTCGAAGTTAGTTCCCCGAACGGTACATTTGCACTCCGCCCTAGTTGTTTTTATAATATAATATAAAGTAACATAATGTAATCTATAATGAATTAAATGGCTTGCAACTAACCATTTCCGGTTCGCACGTATGAAATGGAAAAAGAACTTCTAACTCGAGTAAATTAGAGTTACTTCCACACCACGTGATCAGACATAGAGCGACGTTCTACTTCTAGCGGAGCCTACAAAGGAGAGCTTTGGGCTTCCCGAAAGAAAGAACGAGAAAGCGAACGACAGAAAAGCGAGTTCACTTTGCCATGACGAGTTGAAGATAGTTCGGACGCGCGTTAACAATACTTCTTTATCACGAGCAACGCCAATATTTCGACACTAAACAAAACTCAAAAAAAAAAAAAAAAAAAAAAAAACTACGTGCAGACCGTGCAGGCGATGTTTCGCTGTCGCATATAGTAGATTGTTTAAAAATGCGATCTGGAGCGCCGAGTTTCCAGCTTGGCGCTGCACTTCACGTTCCGTGTTAGCACCGCCTTTGCCACGATAGGAAAAGAGGCAAATTTCTTTTTAATTCTAAGCGGGAAGGAGGGAGAGGGTGATAGAGAGAGAGGAAAAAAAAGAATCGGTGATTGCTTGTTCGAGTTAAGTGTGGTACATTGCACCCGCGTGCCAAGCAACGTGGCAAGTCGCGGTCAAACCGTAAACACACCCTACGGAGGACGGTGTGCACACACTTTCAGCAGACGTGCCTGCACATGATTCTGTCATATCTGCAGCGAGCACCCTGTCTTTTGTATGATATGCGAGCATGTGGTTGCGGCTTTAGATTGGATTGGATTCCGACCGCTGGTTCACCGCGGAAAAATCGCTAAAGAAAAAAAAAAGCGCTATAATAAATTGTTACATGTATAAAAAGATCGAGGCAGAGCCGAGGCACGGTAGAACATGAAGTGAAAGGCATTATTTGTGAGATGCATTCTCAAACGTCACGGCTAAATTCGAAATATAAAATCCGGAGCTGACCGCTTGCCTCGGACAAATATCGCGTAGCGAGCTACAAAGAAATATTAAGTTAACTCGTTGTTCTGTTCGAGCAACTCCTGTAAACAACATTATAAAAAAAGAAGAAAAAAAAAAAAGAGAAGCGTTTAAAGCATGTGCTGCTTTATTATAGGTACACAAGTCGATGTGCGAAAGGTGGCTCGGTCGACTATCACAAGTGTGCTCGAAAGGTTACGTACAGAGATCTTTGCGGCCTGCATCCGTGTCTGCATACGGCATTGTTATTACTCGCACTTTTTGTTAATCGCAGGTTTTCTTCATGTACGGCTGCTTGCACAACAACACGAAGAGTTCGCTCGTTGGGGATGTTGGATTCACAGCCGCCTAATTTGACGAACCGGAGATTGCAACCCTCGCAATCTGTTTAGACCATAGCCTTTGCACTCCCAGATATTTTCAAGTTTCTTATCCGGAGCTCATCAGTAATTCAATTTTGAGTGGTTTACACACAATGCAGAAATAGGGTACGCCCTTTTTGACCAGGTAAAGGTAGTGCATCGCGGAATGCGTTCATGGCATGTGGATTTTATGTTCGAAGATCGTTCCTGCCTTCTCGCAACGTTCTCAGCAACCCGCTGCGAGATCAGGAACTATGCCGACAGGGTCAGCGTCGCGCATGCGCAATAGGGGCGTCTTCGTTGCGAATATCGTATCGATGGAGAAGCGTAGTCTGCAAAAACTACCTTATGTTAGCTTTCCGTTTGCTGCCGCTTTACATGTCATCCGACTCAACACAATCCACGAAACGTGTCAAAGAGAGTAGATAATTTTCACCTTATATTAACCGGAAAGGCTAAAATTTAAAATTGGCAGGAAAGCTTGCATGTAAAGCTCCGCCGCGTAGAGTGTCGCAACAACTTGCTGTAGAGGTCATACAGGTCCACAGCTTTAAATATTTTTTGTTTGAGATGAAAGATGACATAGCAAGGTTTGCTCGAGAAGAGGTGAGCCAAACCAGAAGAAAAATGAGACAAGAAAGTACCTTAATATTCGTGACGAGCCTGTTGGTTTAAGTATTCATCTAGTGAAAAGTAAGTCACTCGTCGTTTCATTATTTCCACTAGATAGAAAAAAAGATGTAGTTCCGAATAACTCACCCTACAAATCTCGCCGCTCTTTCCATTTCAATGTTTATTCGGCGTCTTTTTACTGGCACAAACGAAACGTTTGAAAGGAAGCACGCGGCGCACAACGGAAACACGACCTAAGAATATCCGATCTCGCTCGCAAGGACGGCCTGCTCAAAACTTGAGCTACAGGGAGGAAGCTGTGCACCGGCTTTACTTATTCTCAGTCAGGTTGGTTCGGCCCCCTTTTCTGTAATCTTTTCACCCTTAGCTGAAAGTATTACAGCGAATTCTACCGGTGGTCGTCTTGGAGCGCCGCGCGGGATCAGTAGACCAGATCCGAGGTGGAGCAGGCTATCCGAACGGAGTCGCTCCGCTTCGGGATTCCCAGTAGAACATGACCACTCCTCAGAGATCGGCGGATGCCCTCCCGTCATTCACCTTCCCGGGACTCCCCTTCCCGCGGTCCTGGATCTCGAAGCACACGTTTTTGCAATCGCGGCGCTAACAACACGTGTTCAAGACACGAGCGAAGTTAATCATGATGTGAAGGATGCGTGTCGATAAGCGCTCTGCATCAGCGTAGCCCCCCTGCATCTTCATCGAAATACTCGTGGGCGGTACGCAAGTGCGGCTCCATTTTCGGCCTCTTCTGCGGAAGTCCGGAAAGGCAGTCGAAATCATGCGGGACATAAAAGCAATCCTCGTCGTCGGTGTTACTCAAGCCGATGCTGCTGGAAAAGCTGCTCGAGCAACTTGACGACGAACTGTCATCAAGCAGCAGCAGCATGCAGTAAAGCGGGCGGCACTTCGCGAGCGGCCATTACGAATTCTTCCGAGCCGAGGACTGGCCAGGCGCGCTTCCAGCCGAATCCGCCGAAATCGGCGGAGCGACATTTTTTGGATCCGGATTGAGATCTGGAGTGGGATGACTCCGATAACGATACTTCACCGCCGCCTTTGCGCATGCATAGTGTCGTTTTCGAGCAACGCAATCGGGGGTATAAGAGGTGTTGGAACGATCTACTAAAACACCCTGATGTCTGTGCCGCAGACGCGGGGTCCTGAACAACACCGTCTAGCTTAGCGAGAAATGCGTCATTAAGGAGCGTGAAAGAAGCCTCACCTGACCGACGGGGGCCGGGTTGTGTAACAGGTCGTGCTTGTCCAGGTGCTCCTTCTTGGAGAAGCTGGCGTTACACTTGGCGCACACGAAGGCCGTGGACGTGAGCCCGTTCAGGTCCGGCGACGCCTGGTCGGCCGCCTTGAGGTCCGGCGGACTCAGCGGGCACAACGCCTTGCCGCGGGGGTCCGAGTGGGCGCACATGAGGTGGTCCCGCAACGCCGCCACGGCGGTGGGGCCCGTGAAGCTGCGCTCGCAGTGCGAACACCGTAGGAACAGCTCGCCCAGCATCCTGGGGGAGTCGGCCGTGGCGCCGGCCGCCGCCAACCCTGCGCACGAGAAACAAGGGCGCGCGCGGAGGTCAGCAGCCTGCATACGGAAAATTAAAACTCTGGATTGGGCTAATTGGTTCATTGCGATATGGAGGAGGTAAAAGTGCAAAAGGTCCGTGTTGTACGTGTCCCTTCCTCGTCCGTGTGTTTTGCGCTTTTGAGTCCTCCAGGTTGCATACGGAGGTCCGCTGGTCTTCGAATGCCCGATTCACATGGTGTGATTTTGATGGAGAATTCGCAGCTGTGACGTTAAGCACCGCAGCTCCCCCACCCCCCCCCCCCCTTTTTTTTTTTTTCTTTTGCCGCTTGAGTGACGTTGAAACTGTGAAGATCGTATCTGCCTCGGGCATTTAAAACGTTCGCACTCTCAGTAAACGAGGGTCATTCAATTAGGCAAGAGGGTTGATTTGTGAGATTGCGTGACCTGATTATGTGCTTATTACACCTGTAGTTGGGGTACTAAAATATGTTTAGAAGAAGGTGCGCTTAAAGCAATAATAAAAAAGGTACTATATTCACCGACGGAAAGCCGTCACTTGGGGGTAAAAAGCATCACGTTTTGAGGGTGTAGACGATGGAAATAAACACTGTCTACAGGCTGTTGTCGAATACGTTACATTATAATATTACTAGCTCGAACGATATCCTTATGGAGGTCGACTGAAAAGAGCCGCCACTGTACCGGCAGTTAAACAACGAATAAAAGTGCAATAAATTCGTTATAATTCCTACTGGACATAAACGGCACTGCATTCTATGTACGGCAGACCGTGAGAGCCTTGACCAGGTCAAAGAGGCTGGCGTGCGAGGTCGAGTTTATACAGAAGACGGATGTTAACGGGTCAAGTTTAAACGGGCCCATCCGAGCAGAGGAATACTGTCTCGCCGACGCGCTTGTTTGCCCAAGACGACGGCCGGGACAATTAGCGTGATCGACACGGAACCGGCGCCCGACTGGGATCTCTCGGGCTCAGTTTCCTGTCCCCGTGACATCCGGACCTGAAGGCGGCCAGCAACTTCCCGCCGTCGGGCACGCGTCGCTTCCAGCCGAGCTCACTGAGTCAAGCTCGCCGAGTCACGAGCCAAGGATGTGGCGCTGTATAGATGACTCGGCATACCGACAACGGCGTGCATAGGGAACCGCTCGTTGCACGACGACCGTTTGTTAGCACGAACCGAGCATCTTGTTGAGGTACACATTTTAGGCATGGAAAGCGATTAAAACGGGTACTGGGAGAAGTAAAGCGGCGTTCGCCAATTATTCTCCTTGCAAACACTGGGCTGCACGACACTCCAACTCTGCGCCTTCTTTGTAGGGTGTTTACCCAGTTAATACCCCGAAAATGCTGCTGACATGTAAAAAGCGGCGTATCTGTGTCAACTGGGTATCAACGACACATAACTGTATACACGCTTGATCGCCTGGCTGCGGTTTTATGGCACGAAAAAGACTGTCCTCTGTTGGCAACTGGGAACTCCTTGCGCGGTGGCGAACTAAACCCGCAACGTCACGGCACACTTTATGCGTTTGGTTAGATTAGAAGGCGAGAATACAGCCAAAGAAAAAACGGTGAGCTAAGTGACGTTGCGCTTTTGACGCTGTTTGATCGGCCTCTCTGCTCCTAGCGTTGGCTGCGCTAGGAGCCGCGCAAGGGCTCCTAGCGCAAGGCCGGGTGAATTTACACGGTTGGTGGCGGTGAAGACAATATCATACTAACCCCGATGCGCTTGCACCTCGGGTGCCCAACGATGGCGCCTCATAACAGGAACGAGCTGGGTCAAATGAGGACTAAAACGACTTGGCGAAATGAGAGGTTCACTCATGTCGAAACTGCGGCAAAGTGCGGGGTTTACTCACGTATCAACTGGAGCGAAATGCACGGACATAGCTTCGACAGGGGAGGAAGCACCATACTGAACGACAACTTCTCAACTAAGCAGACCGTTCCAGGCGCCAAGTTTATACTGGACAAGGAGAAGGAGGAGGAGGTAAGAGGAAAGGGCAATGTCTGCTCCGAAGGAGGGCTGGTCACTACCGCACCAACGACCGTGACTCAGGGGCACGGGCCAGACAGAGGGAAGATTACCGATAGTCCAAAGTTGACTCGGCCTAAAAGAGGTCACCCCGGAACACTAATAATAGCTAAAAAAAAGAAAAAGGTAGCAGAAAGAGTCTTTTTGCTAGACAGGCCAGGAAGGAGCTTCTGGGGTAAAGAAGAAAACAAGCGCATGACTAATCGCGCCAGAAACCGTCAAAACATGCTTACGGAGCAGCACCGAGCTAGTCATCCTTCCATATAGATCCAAATCAATTCGTATCGGACGGAACGCCAGCTGATTACCAGTTGCTGTCCGCGGATCGGCAGCTGTTGTCAACGTCTCGCAGCAGAGGCCATCTTCGGGATCGCCAGCGTACAGAGTAAAGTTTGACAGATCTAGCTCCCCTGCTGGTGCAAAGTTTTACGTCCGAATCTCCTACTCACGCGACCTTGGTGCAAGGCACAGCCTCTTCACGTGCCTGCTTTCCACGACGCACACAAGAAAATTTTGCCCCCCCCCCCCCCCCTCCACGTCCTTCTGGACCTAACCTCGTGGCACCTGTGTATAATGCAGCCTTTCATAGCGTTCGACTACATATATGTTCTAGCGTGGAATCCTGGTATTGTAGAAAAAAAAAAAAAAAAGAGAATGAATGTCGTTCGCATGATGTGGCGGGTGGATGAACCATGTTGTGCTCCTGAACTGGACGCTGACGGACATAAATAGAAAGCCAAGTACATCGTCATGCTGAAACTGCACGTTCTAAAAGATATATGAGCTCACATATTTGAGTTTGGCTCATTGGCATCTGAGGCGTTTTGCGCAGAGTAATCGGACACGCCGCGCTATACATTTATGCAACCTCTCTCGCATCCGCTCTTATTTTTTGCTTGAAAGGAGCGACACCTCGCGAAAGGAAACTTCAAGTGTTATATTAATAGCGTGGATTTCATTTTGGATCGCTTGACCTTAGAAATTGATTCGGTAAACGATGAGTGACTGTTAAAATGCTCCCGTAAATGGCTACAGCTTTCCTAGCATTCAAACCTATGTCTATAGGTATACTTGTTTTCAACAAGTGGCGAGACAGGGGAGTATGAGTTCAAACCAACCTTTCCGGAAGAAAAAACAACAACAAAAGACCTATAACGTCAATGCAGAGCGCGAATGAAGCGTCTTCAGGTCCTCGATTAACGCTTACGTCCAAGTGTATCTAAGGATAACACTTTTGTACATTGTGACGAAGGCGTATAGCAACAGAGAGCCTTTCACCGAGGGCATTTCGCAAAGAATCGCGCAGATTAATACAGAAAGCTAGACGCGTTCCATTAAAGGTCAGGCAGCAGTTGATAGCAGCAGGATTTTGCAACCTCCCACTGCTTCTCTTTAGTCGGCTCCATCGAGATACCTGCAGCGAGCTATAGGCAGCTCATCTTTACGGGAATGAGCGGTGAGGCAATGCGCCAGCCGAGCTAGTTCCCTTTCTGTCCGCTCCCCTTTGAAGTGCAGCAGATATTCCTCCACCTGTACCCCTTGGCAGGCAGGCCTTTGCCAAGCCTCGAAACACGCAGGTGCTCGGCGCGCCTCCCGCCCGAGACTCGACGCAAGCCCAGGGGTCGTGCTTGGCATGCGACACGCGGCTTGCCTATCTCATGACCTCGCGCCCGCTACCCTCGCTGGGATCCGGCTATTCCACCCGGAAGACAAGGACTACGGATGACGTCATCGTTAGTAGACCCCTAAACCCCCGTACCCCCAACCCCGACCGATCCCCCGCCCCACCCAAGTGGCAGAAACACGCCGAAATTCGGCGAGAGTATGCCGCAAAGTGGCAGACGCGTCCGAGTGTTTGTGGTTCTCGGGTGTTTGGGGATCCATCGTTCTTGTTCGTCGTGGTCTGTTTCACGTAGTTTTTACTTTTTTCTTCTTGCTGCTTGAGGTCGGGACGCGCGAGAAGAACACGTAGAAAAATAAACGTTCGTTGGTCGTCGCGTCCAACTGAGCGACGCTGTCGGCGCAAGCGCAGTAGGGTCTTTTTCTTGCTTCGCTGACCACACGATAGATGGTGCTTGGCTCTCAGCATTATCAAATTTGGCAATTTTCGTCCCAGCTCTGATTATGCTACAAAATGTGGATCTGAATATTATTTAACAAAAGTTTTAGGAAACGTTGGCCGGCTATTTATTATAGACTTGAGAGCGTGTTGGTAATCTACATTAACTTATAACGAAAAAAAAAAAAAAAAACACAAGAGGTCGAAACAGACGAAACAGCATGAAGCGAAAGCTGTGTCGTCTGTTTCGTCCTCTTGTGTGTTTCTTTCGTTTTAAGTTAATGAATAAGGCTATTTATTGTTTATGATCGCGGTGCTGGTGAGATAGGCTCTTACCCAATAGGCGACGTGGATTCGGCTGACATGCTGCGATTCCGCGGATGCATCGCAGTGAAAAAGCAGAGATCTTTCGAAGGCGCAAAAAAGTCCAGTTTTGTTTTAAAAGTTCTATAGGGAAGAATTTTTTCGGGCTCCCTATTTCTGTGTTTCATGTCGCACCTTTTACGACGATCGGTCGATGAAATTCGATCTTAGAATCGTTTCATGGTCCCTTGAAACACGGGCCAAATTACAGCCGCCACTGCTGACCTTCTCTTGTCTTACCGAGATGCCGAGCCACTGAAACGGGTGCTTTCGAGCCTCCGCAAAGGCCATTGCTAGAAGGCACGATAGAACCTTAAATGGCAATGAACGGCCTCGCTGTGGTAGTTATGAAGTGAAGTAAACGGAATAAAGAAGAAACAGAAGCTGGAGGTCTGCTATGCCGGCGCCCATTCATAAATCCTTAAAAGCGTCTATACTTCGTTTCACTTTAAGTCTAGACACAACCGACGACGAGCTGATGGAACCAATCACACAGCATCAAAAGCGCACCATCATGGTGTTCGTCATGTTTTTGTAGGAG